AAAGTGCATTGTCTATATTACAGTATACAGCTGGTGCCTAACTTTTCAGATTGCTAATGCTCAATCTATTTTTATTGAGCTTTGCAAACTCAGAATTATGAACTGTGTGCATTAACAGCTGTTGAGCTTTCAGGTTGCAAAACAGTAAATGCAACCCCCCCCCCTTTCTTTCTGAGCGACGGTAGGTACCAAAGTATGCATTGTACAGTATGTCTGCATTAGAAGAAACCTCAAGTCAGTCTCCCAAAAAGCAAATTTTGTTGCTGCTGTTGTGATCATGGAATGTTTTAAACTAAGTCTGATTGTTGTTGCTCAGTTCTTTGCTAGACTCAGATCTGTAGCTGTTTATGTAGAGCAGGCTGGAAGACCCATGGTTAATAGTTGCTTCAATTGTTTGCTATGAGATATATAAAGATATAGATATAGATACATGATATGTATCTATATGTATCTTATACTAAATTGGCAGTCTTTTTAAGTTTAAGCACTGTACTGCATTGTTGGTAAAGATGTACTTGCAAATTAGAAATCTAAAACATGAATGATAAAACTACATAGCTAAACTGACAGGCAGCTACACTGTAACTGAACTTAAGGGGAGTATTTCATGCCAGTTTAGGGCCAAATGACTTAGACTTGTCATCTGAATTTTTAGCAGCATCCTCTAAAAGACATCTACATGGTGCAGTTTACTAGCAAAATGGATCTCTCCAATTTAAATGCAACTACTACTGAGATAGTTTACTGGGAACCATATTTTTAGGGCTGGATCAGACTGAACACTAATGACTACACAATTCTCACTCAGGAACTTTTAAATCAGCTGGTAAATTTTACACTTGCTTGTTGCCCAGACAGTAATAACCTACCAATAATGTTGAGCCTTCACCCAACAGATAAGTATCTGTTTGTTAATCGCTCACTTTCATCAATTATACAGGTAGTCCTCACTTAACAACCATTTGTTCAGTGAGCATTCAAAGTTATGACAGTGCTGAATGAATGGTAGTTACACCTGGTCCTCAAAGTTACAGCCATTGCAACGCCTCTGCAATCACGTGATCAAAATTTGGGTGCTTAGCAACTGGCCTGCATTTACAACCACAGCGTGTGCTTCAACCCCCCGCCTATCTCTCCCTCATCTCTGCACTCTGCCACCGCCTCCTGCTGCTGCCCCCCACTGCCTCAGGCTGGCCTTTGCTGTCTTCTTCCTCCCACTGCTGGCCTGGGATCTAGGCTAGCACTGCAGGACAGTGGAGTCTCATCTGCCAAAGGGAGTCCTCTAGGCCTAGCCGGGGAGGAGGCAGGGTGGTAGTACAGGCAGTGGCTCCCTGAGCGAAGGTAGTGGCTGTCTGCACTGTGCAAGGCCTCTTGAGGTCAGCTGGGGGCAACAGAGGGCAGCAAAGGTAGGCCACGGTGGCAGTGGAGTACAGGGCATCCAAAAGAGCAGAGATGGGGGGAGATAAGTGGGGGGAGTTGAAGCAGAGGTGAACACGACAGGGCAGTGGAATTTTGTCTGCTGAGGGGAGGAGGCAGCAGGATGGAGCCAGCAGTTCACCTAGGGCTGGAGAAGCATGAGGTCCTCACCTAAACGATGGCACAGACCTTGGCTAACAACCACAGCCAGGACCATGGGAATTGCCATCAGTAAGTGACACAGTCATGTGATGTTTTGTGTAACAACCCTTTCGCTCAGTGATGGAAATATTGATCCCAATTATTCCAGTAATTAAGCGAGGACTACCTGGAAATGCAAGTCATGCCCTTGTATAAAATGGTCAAATGTGAGCACATAGTCAACATTTTAAACTAACCAATTACTTCAGGCCTATTGCAAACATATTACAGATGACCCAAATGAAAAAAAAAAGTGAGCACTATGAGAGATTTGGTTCCGACAACAGATAATAACTTTTTTCTTTTTCTTTGCATTCATAGACTCTCAGAATCCTATTGTTAAAAAGGGATGTAGAATTTGTTATTTTTTCCTAACATTCCATCAGAATCTGTCTTCCTGTAACTAAAATCCATTATTCTGTGTCCTGCATTCTGGAAAGAGACAGAGCAGGTCTAACCTTCAGTGTGACATCCTTTCAGATATTAAGTGTGTGTGTGTGTATCCCTCCATTATCTTTTCTTAAACAGTGTCTTGGGGGTTTAAACATTTTTATTTGCTTTCTTTTACAAAATTTTTTAAAAGATTTCCAAAACAGAGGAAAAAAGAGGGTAAAAAGTTACTATATAAAAGTCAGCTCAATGTCTAACCCACATTAATTAATCTTGATTATTTTTTCCACTATATTACTATAGAGCTAGTTTGTACGCAGAGAGAGAATACATGTCATCCATCAAAAACCATACATTTGGTGTGGCACTATCTTTGAATCATAGCAGAATAATTTCCTTCGCAGAGCTCCATGCTCAGTAACTCCAAAGCTCTTCATACATTGATGAATTCCAGATTTTTGATATGTAATGCAACACTGGGTTGTGTAAAAGAGTATTCATCTTGAAGAAAAAATGCTAGAAGTATTAGATAAACATCCACTTAGCCCTGGGAAGGAAGAGGGAATGAGAAAGAAACTCAAGGTAATTCCACCTTGATTCTTTTTAGCATAAGAGAGCAGAGGGAAATTCTGTCAGGTTGTTATACCCTCAGCAACAGAATTCCAGGAGTCCTTGCAGTGTCCTGACCCAGCCTACCTTGGAGGGCTGACACACTGGCATCTTTAAACCTCATTTTGCTTCTTAAGACAATATTAACAAATGTATGGATATTAAACCAAAATGGGATTATAACAGGACAAGCACATATATGTTTAAATATTTCCTCTAGCATTTTATACTTACAGCATAATGAAACTGACAGCCAGTACTTTCTAAACATTCTCTGAGGTGTCCAATACACAAGAATACAAAATAATTTTGGATTAAATTACACCCAAAGATAACAAAAATATACCTAATGTTTTTAAGATTGTTAACCATTGCTTTGTTAATATGAGTTATTCCAAAGTTCATGCAAATAATCAATATCCCCCTTAATAATATTTTTTAATTGCCTATAAAAAGAACACTGGATTTGCAATCATCCAAAACGCATTTCCTTGGTAATAGTACTTCAGGAGTTTTAGATGTTGCATGTGCATCCAGACCAAATAGCAAAGTAGAGCATGTGCTGGTGACTTGAGCTTCCTAGCCTAGCAAGAACAAAGGAGGGTTATTTACATCCCAGGCAACATTTCTCAAGGTTGAATACAACCAGTTCCTTTTACCTTTCTTCAGTGATCTTAGTTTCTAAATCTTTTGGTCATCTTTGCTGCCCTTTCTTGAACCTGTTCCAATTTCTCTGTATACTTCTTAAAATGTAATATCCAGAACTGGACACAGTATTCAAAGTATGATCTGACCAATGCAGACTAGAGTGTAATAAGTTCTTCCTATAATTTGGAAATTATACTTCTGTTGATGCACCCTAAAATTGTGTTTCACAAGTACCATTATCCAAGCAGGTGTCTTCCATCCTATACCTGTACATCTGATTTTGACTTTATTAAATGTCATTCTGTAACTTTCAGCCCACTTCTCCAACCTATCAAGATTGTTTTCACCTTTTTTCTGTCCTTTAGGGTACTAGCTAGCTCATTCAGTTTTATATCAACTTCAAATCTGATAAGTATTTCCTCTATCTCTTCATCCAAGTCATTAATTAAAATGATTTTTTTAAAAAATAGTACAGGCACAGGAAAGGATCTTGTGGCAACCATTTAATAATTTCTCCAATTTGACAAGGAACCATTGATTAGGATTCTTTGAGAATGATTTTCAATCCTAGTACATATGTATTTATTTGATTGTCCTGCCATCCAGCCCACACTTAACTAGATTACTTGTCAGCATGTCATGGAATAATTTGTCAGATGCATTGCTGAATTCAAGATATATGATGTCTATAGGATTTCCACTACTTTATTAAAGAATAAAATTAATCTGGCCAGATTTGTTTTTGACAAATCCATGCAGACTTTTAGTAATTACTACACCGTTTTCAAAATTTCTTTCCTTTCTTTTCTTATCAAACTGACTGGTCTGTACTTTATTAGATTTTCACTATCCCCCCCCCCCTTCCTTTTGAAGATAGGGACAGTAGTTGCTGTCCTCCAGTTATCTGGCATTTCACTAGTTCTCCAGGGTTTTAGAAAGGAAATATATAAGGATTCAGCCACACCAACAACTATTTCTTTCAGTTCTCTAGATGCAGTTCATTTGGTGTGGGAGATTTAAACTCATTCAAAGTCAAGAGGTATTTCCTGACTATGTTTCTATCAATGTTAAACTTCAGTTTTGCTCCTTCATCCTGCTCTTCACAATTTTCATATGGAATACATTTGCTAACTTCAATTTCAGTGTGTAAAATCGATTTATACTTCACAGAAAGCACAAATTATTGTTAATGGAGTTAACAATACCATGTGAGATACAAAAAGGAAAAAGACAGGGCTACCCATTGTCCCTTCTTCTGTTTATTTGGTTCTTGAAATACTGAATAGAGACATAAGACAAGATGAGAGGATTGTGGGAGTAAACATTAAAAATTAAAAAAGTGATTTATAAGTTAAGAGCTTTTGCAGATGACTTGGTGCTGGCTTTGGAAGATCTTTAAAGAGAATGGAAATATTAATGGATAAATTAAAAGAATTTGGTGCATTAGCAGGCTTTAAGATTAATAAACAGAAGACAAGGATATTAACAAAAATATGAAAATATAAGATTAAACAGAATTGATGAATAAAATGGGTTTTAAGATTGAGAAGAAGGTAGAATACTTGGGTATTACTATGACAGTTATGAATTGTATGTTATTTCAAAATAACTATGTTAAGACATGAAATGAAGTTTAAAAAGATATGTTAAATTGGGAGGAAATACAATTGTCATTACTGGGGAGAATTTCTGGAATTAAGATGAATGTCTTACCTAGAATGTTATTTTTGTTTCAGACAATACCTGTGTTGACAGCTGATGCACCATTTAAACAATGGCAGATGGATATATCTAAATTTGTGTGACAGAGAAAAAACCACAAGTTAAATATAAGGTGTTACAAAATGTAAAAGAAAGAGGAAGAATGGGTTTACCTGATTTGAAATTATACTTTGTAGCTTGTTGTTTAGTTTGGATGAAAGAGTGGGTGTTGCTGAGAAATAGAAGGCTTTTGGAGTTAGAAGGACATGACTTAAGATTGGGGTAGCATGGATATTTGAGGTACAACACAGCTAAGGTTAATGTAGATTTTAAAAATCATTTTGTTAGAAGTGTCATATTGAGAATATGGAATAGATACAAACCCAGATTGTGCCCCAAAGCACCTTGGTGGCTCTCAGCACAAGAAGCGTTTTATAGAAGAGAAATGATAAATAAACACAAATGTTTACCTATCATGAGATATTAGAATTTTGTCAAGGGGAATGCAAAATAAAATCAAGAGAAGATCTGATGGCAAAAAGATATACTGTCAATGGTTTTCTTGTATTAAATTATTAGAAAGATTTAAAGTAGACAAAAGAATTTTTGGTTTTGAACAGTGTAAGACTGAGTTTGAAATAGAATTGTGATGAACATGTAATTGCTAAAATATATAAACTTACTGAAATTTGAAACAGAAGAAGAACAAGTGAAAGAATATATTATAAAGTGGGCTAAAATTTTTGGTTACAGTATACAAATGGAATAATGGGAGTATATGTGGCTGAAAGGGCTGAAATTTACAATGTTTTCATCGTAAAGAGAATTTTTATAAAATGATTATCATTTTAGTATCATATTAGTATATGTCACTAAAGAAATTTTCTAGAATGTATAGCAGAGAAATTGTCTAGAATATATAAAGGTACTTCAAATTTATGTTGGCAATGTGAACAACAAGAAGTGACATTTTTTCATGTTTGGTGGACATGTAAAAAAGCCAGAAAGTTTTGGATTCAAGTACATATGCTAATTCAGAAGATTTTAAAGATTAATATACAATTGAAACCAGAGGCTTTTCTTTTGGGACTGATGGATAAATAGTTGGAAAAAAGTCATGGAACTTTGTGTTTATACATGCAGTGAGATTATGTGGAAGGTGGAAAGATTTGATGCCTCCCACAATGGAGGAATGGATGATGAAGATGATGGAACTTGCTGAGATGGCCAAATTGACCTCTTTGATCAGAGAAAAGACATTATCCATGTTTATTACTAACTGGAAACCCCTTATAGACCTTTTGCATGAACAGAAAAAAATGAACTTATGATTTATGGTTTCAATTATTAGAAAAAATAGATTATAAGAGTTATGTTGCAACCACAGAGTAAGAGGTAAATTTATATTCATACTTATAATTACTGTGCAGAACATCGGAAACTACTTCTTTATATTTCTTTTCTTTGACACTTTTGGCTTTTTCTTTTTCTTTTTTTCTCTCTTATCTTTATTCTATATTATTCTGTTAGTTATTATTTTTCTTTTTTAAACCTTTATTTAAATATATATATACCCTTCAACTTCAGTGTGACCCTGCTCCATGAGCTGCACTGGCTGCAATTCAAGGTGCTGGTTGTTATTATAAAGCCCTTCATGGCATAGGGCTTGGCTGTTTGAGGGACCGCCTGTCTCCGAAAGTGTCTGTTTGTCCAGTAACATTTGTCAGAGGGGTGCACTTTAGGTCCCCTCAATTAAACAGTGTCACCAACTGGGGCCTCAGAAGTATGCCTTCTCTGTTGTAGTGCTTGCCTTCGGAACAGCATTCCCCCAAAGATCCATATAGCTCTCATCCTGTGATGTTCCAAAAAGTATGAAAACCTGGCTTTCTCCCAGGCCTTGCAGCAAAGTGGTGGGTGAGCCTTTGTACGACTTTTTATGTTGTTTCTTATGTCTTTTCTGGACGCATATCATCTGTTTCTCCTATTTGTTGTTCTGACTTCTTTTATGTATAGTACCCAGAGTCAGACTTTCATTAAATCTGTGTAATAAATAAATAAAACTCATTCTGAAGTTTTGCTTTCCTAATATTAGCTCCACAGTTCTTGGCTATCTGTCTGTATTCTTCTTTTGAGCTCAACTTTTAGCAAGCACATTGATCAAAAAGACTCATTTTTTATTCAACATCCCTAGTAATGCCCAGCAAGATGAGAGTATGTTTCCCTCTCTTTAAAGAAGGTTTGTAAACATGGTGTGCTTTTTCTTTCTTGAAAATATTTGCAATTAAATTATTATCAAATTCCATTGTTGAAAGTTTCTGGAGATAGGAAATGGCTGTAGTTCATTTTCTGTCCATTGGAGGTACTAAAAAGCTTTACCGGTCTCTGAGAGCTTAAGGGAAGATGGATGGTACGTACCATTCTGATATTGTTTGTAGACCGTGTTCCATTAAATTTTAGAGCAATCAGGGAACAGCCCACATCAGCTATATTTGCCCTTTCTAAGTGTTGTATACTATGCTTGTGATTCAGTAAGTTTAAAGCAACTTGAAGATTTAGAAATACTGGGTGTTGTGGGGAAAATAGGAGGAGGAAGGAGTATTAGGTATGTCCGCCACCTTGAGTTATTTATATAAAATAATAAAGGCGGGACAAAACATCTAAAAAAACCTATTTACAATTAAACAGTATCATCTTAGAGGCCTAGGGAACATATCTTCTCTGTCGTGGTGCCTACCCTCTGGAACAGTATCTCCCAGAACTTTGTACAGCCCCCCATCCTAATGATGTTCCAAAAATCTTTGAAAACATGGCTGTTCTCCCAGGCCTTGGGGTGGGGTGGCTACTTAGCCTTTATAGGTTGTTTTCTATTATTTTGTGTGGTTTCTGTCCTCTTCTGGACATTTATGATCTTTTCCTTATTTTTAATTGCTTTTAAAATGTAAGTCATTTGTGTAAGGAATGCCCCATTCGTCAAGAGAAACTCCTGTGACACGTGTGTAGCACAAAGAGGTTTACTCAAGCATAACGCAACAGTTACAAACAAAGCCAGGACTGGCTTGGCACATTTCTTGTTAGAATATATAGCTCTCCCCTTCCCGCGCTTCGCCCCGTCCTCGTGTTACATGTTGCGGCTTGTCGGTACCCCAGTAATCCCCCTTAATGGTCCAAATGGCAGGTTCAGCCAGTTTCCCATTGTCCCTTGATGGCTCTGCCCTCTGGCGTGGTCTTGTTTCCTCCGGGTCTTTTCAGCTGTGCACAAAGCCGGGGTTTTCTCGATCACACAGTGATCGCCTTTCCGGGGCTCGTGGCTTTGCCCTTTGTCTCGGTGTGCGCTGCACCGGAGTGGATACAATACATCCACTCTGCGGTTTCCTTGTTAAGTGGGCGCAGGTGGCCCATTAATCAGCCGCGGCTCTCACTTCCTCTTTTTCCCCGGCTTGCGAGTGGCCGGTAGAATTGGCCGGGTTTCCTAGCAGTGCCACACCGGCTGAACCTGACAATTTGGGGTTAAGCAGCTTTTATATTAATTAAATCCAATCAGTCTGAAAAATCTCAACTCTTCCAACAGCTAAACCAAATCATGAGCAGCTCTGAATGCACAAACATGACTGGAGGTGTGACCAGTACAAATGGTTTAAAAAGAATGGCAGTTGTTGCAGTGTGTGCATGTGTGTGTGATCCTTTTGTATAAACAATTTATATTAAGCCAAACAAGAAACTTTGCATATGAAGTGTGGACAAGATAAATGATAATGAGGTCTGAGCAAAGTGTGCCCCATGGAAATAGGAAAAACTGCACTCCAGGTCCCTTCCCCAAATGGTGTCATTGGTGGGACCTTGGAGCTGTTTCTTCTCTGGAGCCGTCCCAGCCCTTTGGACCCACCTCCCACCCGAGATCCATCTTTCCATCCCACCCTTTTAGCCTTCCAGAAGGCCATGAAAACCTTGGCATTGGGCTAGGAAGGGGCTGCGTCAGGGGATCCACAGTCTAGGTGATCCGGCACCTGGTGAGAAGGGGATGATCTCTTTTTATATTATTTTTATTGGCTGTTGTGAGGCACCTAGGGTCACTGTGTGAGATAGGTGGACATATAAGTTCTTTAAATAAATAAATAAAATATCCCCTGGTTTCATGTCATCCATACTATCAGAAGGTATTGAAAAGAGACTTCTTGGCTCATATAAAATTTTCAAGTAGAAAAGAGCTACAACCATCGCTTCACTAGACTACATCAAAGTGATACTATTCACAGGTATGCCGCAAATTAAAAAAAAATGAAGATGTGAAAAACAGAAAGAATCAGTCACAATTATTTACCTAATGTTACATAATAAGCACACAACAAATAGGTATGATGGGGGTTTTTTTTCATTATAAAAAACATCTGCCCCAAATCAGAAATGTTTCAGAGACTGTCACAGGGAGCAAGAATGGAGAGGGGCTTCGCTTAGCTGATAACAGAGGAAGAAGTCTAATCAGTGTAAAAAAAAAGGAGGAGCCATAGTAGAAACTGACAGCTGCAGAAGTTCTCCATAACCTTACTTTTATCTCTTCTCTAACCCACAGGTGAAACAGGTTAAAGCTATCTTTAGTGGTTCCAGTTTTATAGTAGTGTTTTCCCTCTTCTCCCCATACATATTTTGCCCTGAACATACTCCAGCATGGAGTTTCATTGACCCTGGAATTGGTAACACAGTCAGAACTGGGATACCCCCAGCTCCTATTCACCACTTTGAGCTGCTGCAGGCATGCCCCCCCCCCCCGCTTTTGGGTTGTTCGGCATTGCCCTCTGTGGCCATTTTGGTGTGGGCTGCAGGATAAATCGAACACCTGGCTTTCCCAGAGCCATCTCCTTGTGCAATGCTTAGCTAACACTTTCCTAAGAGCTGCTCAGATCGTTTATAGGATCCTTTTTGGCAGAGCACTAAACCAGTTTTTTAAAAATCTCAGAAAAAAATTACACATTGTATTTCCAGCTAGCCAAATATGCCATGGAAATTAATACTTCATTAAAACTTTCCATGATGCCACATTTAAATCATATGGCTACCTCAGAGCCAAGATGGTGGGC